CAAAATGTTTTCTTAGACCACAATATAATTCAATTAAAATTAAATAACATGAAGATACCTGAAACACCTCAAAATAATTGAAAATTACACACCCCATTTCTAAATGTCAAATAAGTTAAAATGAAAACCAAAATAGATATTAGAAAACATATAAAAATAAATAAAAAAAATTAATATGTATAAAGTGCACCTAATGGAATTTTTACAAGAAAATTTAGAGCATTAAATTCTTACATTAAAAAAGAAATTGTCCCAAATCAATGATCTTAGCTTCTGATGCATGATATAGCATATCTTAAAAGCTGTAACTAAAAAGTCAAGGTATGAAAAATTATCAAGGTTTCTTTCTGTATTCATTAATAATCTGGGAAGACCTCATTAAAAAAATGAAATTAAAAAAAAAAATTAACTCAGCATCAGTAAGAAAGTTTGATAATTAGATGATATAATCAAAAGATTAATATTGTTGTATATGTGTTTAATCTGTACTTTTCCTTGAAGTCCATAAGTCTGCATGCCAGGTTCAAAAAATGAATCTATTATGATGACTTTTTGAGTTTTCAGTTACTGAATTTGCCCCATTACTTAAAAAAACTTTTTATTAATTTTTTATAAGATTTTACTTTATGAATTTAATCTGCATTACATCTAACAAGTTTGGGGGCTTATGAAACATGTATTTATTTATAGGTTGGTAATACTCTACCAAGGTATGCCTAAGTCAGAATTTTTTGCCATGAAATTATAATATAGTGTCTTTTTGCTTTTATTTTATGTGCATTTGCTAAATTTTTAAGGATTCCATTTGTTTTTCATTATTATGGAACATTTACATGCAATTGTGGTAAGCATTTTAATTTTCAAAATTTCAATTTTAGAGAGCAAATTATACTCTGTCCGTAATTATCCTGACCCTGAATTTTCTTCTTTTTCCCATGGAAAGCCCTTTCTCATTTCAGAAACCCCTGGGCCTTATAAATATGTAAATAATTACAAAAAATTTAAGTATTTAATAAATAAGTTTATAATTTTTATGTACTGCTTTCCTATAGATATTTGCCTTTAAACAGTGTACAGCTTTCCTGGTTATTGGAAAGTGAATAACATAACCTCCAAATATAAAAATGAAGTTTTGCCAAAGTTCACAAAAATATACAATGAAAATAAGATCTTTCCCACTAACTACTTTCTCATTCAAATGAGTTCAGACTTAGCCTTCTCTATGTCTTCTTTCAGAAAAAGTCTATGTTATAATATTTTAACCAGTCATCCAGGCCTACAGCTCCTAGATTCTGACGCTCTATCCAATACCATTGAGGTAATTTTATTTCCTTTTGTTGGTGATTCTGTAGTCGCTATTACTCTCTGCTGAGTATTCTCAGTTCCTGGAGTTGTCTCAAAGCAAGAAGATAATGCAATGCCATTCAATAATTCAGCTGACTCTTGCCATTAATATAACATGACTTTCTCAATTTTTTAATTTTAAAATTTCAATGTTTTAATTGGAATATTATAATGATATTGCCCATTTCATCAGATACTTTTTAATCTTAAGGAGCATGAGTCATTTTCCCAACACAAAAGCCATGCTTTTAAATATATAGCCTTAAGGATAGAGAGAAAGCACTACTAAACAATGCGTAAAGTATTGCCATTACTTTCAATGGCAAAAATCTCAATTAAATTTGCAGCAAACTAATATTTGTTTTTCTATTTGAATTATCAGTATCCAGTGTGAAGATTAGTGAAGCAATGCAAATTTTGTTTCTATTCATTGACATGTTTTGTTTAAGATAAAGGATACAGTAACAAAACTATAAACTTAGTTAGGATACCTCAAAAAGTAGGAGAATTACTGCCTAAAGTGTAACACAGATAGGAGGAAAAAAAACACTTGAAGGGAAGGAGAATGCAAAAAAGGAGCTAGTAAACATGAATTGTGTATTAACTATGTTCCTTGGTCTTTGAACAATTGCCAGCACATAGTGCACATCCAATACATTTTAAAATGTTATTTAAATGAATGATTGACATATTTGAGCAACTTAAATTTACAATTTAAGAATAAAAAATGAGGATAATATCTGTGATCAAATTACTGTGTTAGTAAAGCAAATAACCTTTTCTTTCGATTTCTACAGCCTGTCTTCCTCATGCTAACTGATGTTGTTTACTTAAGACATAGCTGAAAGTTAGAAACACACCGATATGCACATGCATATACTCACAGAGCAAAAGGCTATCAACAGAACAATCGCATAACATCTGAACACCATAGACTCACATCAAAGATGGATATCACTGGAAAAATTGCTTTGCATCATGCTGTGTACACCATCCTGTATCACTTTAGATATCTCCAGTATCTACAAAGTGGCTAAAGGCAAATAATTTAAACAATATTTATTGAACATATTAAATATCATGTTTTTTAAAAAAATAGTGTGTTTTCTAAAAATATGTTAATTTATTTTATACTATGTTAATGTTATACCTTAACAATAATGTATAATTGATTTTGCTTATTTATATACTGTATTCCTATATTTTTTAGTAGTTAAAATGTTTGAATTGTAGAACAGCATCTTTACTTGGTAGCTGTCATAAATTTTAACTATATTGTCCTTTCTCAGATTAATTTTTGCCCTTATATATGCCAGGTATATTTTCTCTAGAGTTATTTTCTGGATATGGCTAAACATAATGGATATTGGAAACTCGAAATTTCTGTTATAAAATTGTTAAAATTCCTTTCTGAAAAAATTGAGCAAGTTGGATCAATCACTATTTTTTGACTGTCATGGAGATATTTTTTGCTTTCTTGTTTCAAATGCTTTTTATAGTCAACGAATGTGAAGTAATTTGAAATTTCATTTTGAATCTGAAGTTTAATTCTCTTTAACTGGTAGGATTAATAGATATAGTCCAAAGCCAGGTATCTCAGAATAATCCTACATTTTATTTCTATTGATACATAGTTTGAACTTTAGGTAATTAACTCAAGAAGAATCTTAGTGCTGTTACATGGATAGAACTGTGTGATAGAAATAGATTAAGCAAAGATGCCCTATGCATTCTGCTGTTTCTCGAACACATTCCCCTGAAATTTACGTGTTGGAAACAATCCCCAATGCAACAGTGTTGGTAGTAAAATCTAATAAGTGGTATTTGTGTCATGAGTGGTAAGTCTTCATAAGTGGATTAATGTTGTTATCATGGGAGTGGGTTAGTTAGCCAGAGAGTGTGTTCTTATAAAGAAAGCCTGGCTACTGGTACCTCTCTCACACACACTTTCTTGATTTTCTGCCTACTGTTATGGGATGACACAGCATAACGATATTGTGAGCTGGTCCCAACAACTGGCAACATGCTCTTGGACTTCCCATGCTCCAGAACCACAAGTTAAATAAATTTATGTTCATGATAATTTTAACCAGTCTCAGATACTCTATTATAGCAACAGAAAATGGACTAGGACACATTCAAGAAATAATTTATTGTATCAATAACAATAAGAAGTTTCTTTATTTATGGAATGTTAACTTAAACTTTCTTCCATATGAATAATGGAACACACAAGAGCAAGGCCCATCTAATATAAACTAAAGGTTTACAGTGAGCCATTTTATCTAGAAAAGTACTACTGTCGTTTGGCTGAGTTGTGCTTTACAATTACATAGTATCTGATAAATTCAGAAGTAATGAGTATTAACTGTGATAACAAAAGTTATATAATTAGGATATTATTGAAAATAGCAATACATACAAAATTATACACACAGTATATAGAGCATGTAAAGAAATAAATGATAGCTATGCAATGTACATGGATACATCTTAGAAACTTAAAAATAAGGGAAAGTAAAACAAAGAATGCATACAAATGATGCATTTTTAGAAAAAGTAAACACACGCTACTAAACTATAGGTGACTTAGGAATACTGTTACATATTGGATGTTAATAAAACCAAGCAAAATAATGGCAAACACAAAATTTAGTATATTGGCTACCTTTGGTGGGGAGGTAGGAGGATTGACTAAGGATACATACCTAGATAGCCACAACCATCAGGCTCACATTCTATTTCATAAGGTGATGAGCTAATAGGGAAATAAAAGAAACTAAACTCTTTAAAAGCTAGTATGTCTTCAGCCCATTATTTCTTTGCTATACAAAATAAATATAATTTTCTTACACAACTCTTTATCTCGAAATGGTTTGACAAAATTATGTTAGGTTCATCATAAGGTTTACATTCACTTTTCCATTGAAGATAAAAGCCTATTTTTCAGTTTTGTTTTCTTAGGAAGGCTCGGGATTATATTCCTCATGTGGAATGACGAATGTGAAATTAACAAAGCGGATTGCTTTAAAGACCAAAATTACTCTCTGAGTCTCCATGTGCAACAGATGGAACTACTGAAGCCATGCTTAGTTGCCTTAAGGAGCAGCAATTGTCTTGCTCACTTCTGGAACCTTTACAGACATTTTGGCTGCCAGAGTTATTGTCGTACCCTGGTCAAGACTTTGAATATTTTCAAATATTTATAGCCATGGGACTGGCTCCAAAAGACTGTGCCAATGTCTTAGCAGGTATTTTAATGAAGCTGATAGTTGCCTGATGATTTTAAAATAATAACAGGCATGAAGCATTATTGAAGTTTTACTGACATATATGCCTGTTTCTTCTATATTTCTAGAATTCCAGGTACTGCAAGTCATCCTCTATTAGATGTGCATTGCAGTGTATTTCCCCACTGTAAGAAAAAGAGTTCTACTATGTTTTAAATCATTTTTTTCTTTTCCTGATTTCAACTTCTGTTTTCTAAAGGAAACATAAGAACTGCTCTACTTCCAGGAACATAAGAACTATTCCAAATGTTAAGACACGTATTATTTTAAAAAGTGGCCATTTTTTGTTATGGCCATTTTTTGGGGGCTACTTTTATGTTACTCCATCATAGGCTTTATTATGAGAAAAATAGTCATAATAAATGTAATAATGGATAGTAACTACTATGTAGTCACTCTTTCTATGTGTTGGCCTCTCTGTTGTTCATATTGTATACAGACTGTGGCAGTAGTTTGTAAAATTTATTAATTTCTGTCATTTTTTTTCAGAGATAATTTTCTTTTCTTTCTTCCTACTTCGGTTTTCCAGTGTTCTAACAGCTAGACATTTTGATGATCATGGTCCAGGGGATGTTTCTAGTACCTCTTAGTCACCCACTTTCATCCTCAAGCTCTGACTTCCCTCTGGGTCTTCCTGATTTGTTCTGCTACAGGAAGACTCTGCATTGCCTCTGTTCAGCCACAGCAGGCCAGGAGGATACCTCCACCGTGCCAACAGTGGTCATACTCAGGGTGCACTGGTCCCTCCACCACTTCTCAGAAGGCCAAATGCAGAGGTGGGGTTTGGCTTCTCCACTGGCTGCTGATGGCAGCAGATGAAGCAACTCACAACTGAGGGGTAGGGCTACATTTGGCAAATGAGAGCAGAAAGTGACCAATAAATGAATGCTTTACCTCGCCCTAAACCCTATTCTTACAACATTTCAGAGATACTGTAGTTCCAAAACAACTACACTTGTAAAAAGTCATATTCCCCCCTTACATTTGTCTTCTCTCCTGACTCACACTTCATTTAACTCACTTTTGCTTTCCTGGAATTACATTCGCCACTAAAATATTAGCATACATTCTTTAGGTTTGAGTTCCGTGTTCTAGGAAGTCTGGGCTAAAACAAGGATAAAAACGTTTAAACAGGGAAATACTTGGAGATTTTTTCATGTCCTTGGTTTTCAAATCCTAAATTCTCTAGAGAAATGGAGAGGAGTGTTGACACGGATATTTGAGAACAAGATAGAAGGAAAAATTGGAAAAAGCAGAGTCTATGAAACTACATGAGTTCAAAAAAAGCTTCAACGACCACTTACAAGGTAATTAAGTAAATAGAAATTTTCAAAATAGCTTTGTAGAAGCTGAGAGGAATTAGGATTGTGTGTTGACTCCTAGGCAAAGTCTACAGGGAAGTGGTAGTTCAGGTTTGTTTTCTTACAAAGGCTCATGATTATATTCCTCATGTGGAATGAGGAATGAGAAATTAATATTTCCTTCCTGAAGAAGGAAATTTTACCCAAGTATTTTAAGTTAAAAGTGCTGTAGAAACTAAACAGGGCCAGATGGCATTCTTCATTCAAAATCTTGGTAAATATAATTTATCAGGCAGCTACTTGCCATACCGTGCAATATGCATATAATGCATCTAATTTTAGATTTTTACCAATCTATTGATAGTATTAACATTAATTTAACAGTGAATGTTCACCAAAATACCTAATAAGATACTTTAGTTTCAATGCAGCAAATATTTTAACCTTCACAATTAACTTATTAACATATAATTATGATTTTGTAAAAGTAGCAATTTATTTTTTATAACTTTTCTTTTGCAAATGGTTTCCATAAATTTTTAGAAAATATAAATAAACACAATAAATGTGTATAGTTTGGAATTGCCAATGACTCTTAAGATGTTATATTTCATTCAAAATATATTTTTTCTAAACAGATTTTCACACCAGCAAAAGTAGTAACTTTGTCTTGTTAAATTTCATTAGACACAAGTAGAAAAGTCATCTCACAATTATCTATCTTAGCTAGAGATAAGGTGAATGTTATCACTGTGTAATATAGACACATAGTATGATAATTGAGTACTATATAACTTTGTGCTTTGCATAAAATTATTTTTTCTGTGAAAAGTCTCTTATCTTCTGTGACAGCCTTGGAAATTTAATAAAACTCTGCAACTAACACAGTATAATTTATCCCTAGGAAAAAAACTTTTGGACGAAAAAACAAGATAATTTTTTTTCTCCATTTGTATAGGAAAGGTAGCAATCTCAATAGATTTATTAAGCATGAAAACCTCAAATGCTATAATGCTCCTAAGGAATTAAATGATCCATTCATGAATCACAAAGAGGATATAAATTACCAAACTGTTTGTATAATTGTAATGTACTAGTACCCATTATAGTACATTAGTACAGGCTTCTAAAGAAATTCTCTAACAGAGTTCCGCTACCAAATTGCAGAAAGTGTGTTCTCATTTTCTCCATATATTAGTATTGAGCTATTCATTTAGCTTTCAAAATTTGCTATTTAATGCAGGGCTTTATTCATTTGAACATGCAACAAGACTCTATTGCTACTGCTTGCAGTTGAAGGATAGACTTCTGAAGTAAGAGGTAGACCTTACAAAGGAGCTCAACAAGGAGAACAAAACTCTATTTAAATGTATTTAGTGAGCCTTTACCTTGTGCCAGCTGTCCTTCAGGGAACATAGAAATGAACAAGACATCTGAAATACCTGCCATCAAAGGGCTTACATTCTGTTGGAATGCAATGGCAAAGTAAACAGTACGTAAGTGGCTGATGGTGATAAGTATTACAAAAGAAAATAAAGGAGGGTAAGAGCCAATAGGGAATGCCAGCGGGGGAGGTTGTTTTTCTTTTATATTTGAATGTTAAGTCTGACTTATAACATGTTGTTTGAGCAGAAAGGCAAAGGAAGTGAGAGAGGATGACATGCAATTACAAAGAAAAGGGATGTCAGGCAGAGGGATAACCAAAGACAGTCAGGTGTTATTTACCAACAGGGGCGCCTTATGGGAAATGCATCTTTAGGTAATTTTGTCATAATGTGAACATCTTAGAGCATGCTTATGCAAATCTGCTTATGGCCCACCACACACCTAGGACATATACTATTGCCTCTTGCTCTACGTTGTAAACCTTTACAGCATTTTACTGAGTAGAATACTGTAGGCAGTTGTAGCACAATGGTAAGTATTTTTGTTAAACATATTTTAACATAGAAAAGATAGTGCATTTTTCCACAGTGCTACGAGAATACAGCATCACTTGGTCATAGAAATTTTACAGCATTATTAAAATCATATAGGGCCATAATGATAGGTGTAATATGTTGATGACTGAAATATTGTTACATGGGGATGACTGTATTTCTAGAGAGAACAACTTGTCTGTTGTATTTGAGGAACAGTGTGGAGAGCATACAAATAAGAGGAAAAGAAAAAATGATTTATCAACTTTTAGTACAAAGGCATGCTTTGGATTTTCACTCAGAGCAGAAGAGGAAGCTATTAGAGTACACATAGCAGTGGAATGAAACCATCTGACTTCAGGTGACATTGCTATGCCAAGAACAGACTGTGGTTGATGGAGGAGAGGAACAGGTGTGGAGGTAAGGAAACCCTCAAGGTCAATAATCCAGTTAACATACAGTGGTATTTTACCAATTTATTTTCTCTGTATATATTTTAGTGGTAGATAAATGTAATTTTCAGATGAATGGGATGACGTATGTGTAAGAAAGAATGTGTCAAAATTTATTTTATGTGCACAGTAGAAGAATGAAGTTACTATTTCCTGTCAGAGAGCTTTGGGTAGAAGAGTTCTTTCTGATGAAATAGCTCTAGGGTGATAAGAATTTAGCATGACAGTGATGAAGCAGCAAGTTCAAAGCACAAGAAGTGACAGGGTATAGTGTATTTGAAATAAATGTCATCAGAGACATGTTATATTGAGTCTTTAATTTATGAGAATGAATAAATGAATGAAGACACATGGGGGCTGGTAAAGCATGGAGAAAGAGAAAGAACGTACATTCCAAGCTACGGGTTCCGGGAAAGGAGAGTGTGTAGTCAGATGTGCTATTGAAGTAACCAACCAAGTGGAATGAACGGAGACAATTGGGGTGACAACGGACATGAAATAATGAGGTTTTATAAAGAGATATCGCCATTTGAAAAGCAAATTCTGAGAAGAGTAAAGATGAGGCTGAAATATACCCCTGACCAGAGGAAAAGACCATTTGGAAACATGATTATTAACCACTTAGAAAAACTCAGTTGAGTTAATATATCCAGACAAAAACTTAGTTTTACTAAGACAGAGATGTGATAACATTTCAAAAAAGTATTTTCTGATAGAGTAGAATAAGTAGTATTTCCCATGAAATAGGGTGTATAAAAAGGGAGTGAAAAGGCTGGAAAAGAAACCAGAACATACTAAAATAAGAATTAGGAAACAGATAAATTAGTTGAGAGCACTATATTTTTGACAGTGACCTAATGTAACAGGAGTCTCTGGCTTGGGCGTTTAATGCTTTAAAATAATTTATAAAGATGCTTTTAGAGGAAAAAACAACCATTTCTTTTAGTTTTGAGGACTAAATAGAGAAAAACATGTATTCACCACAATCAAATGAAAGCTTCAGTGGTAATATTATGATGCATAGTAAACTTTAGAGCAAAATACATTACTAGACGTACATAAGGTCATTTCAAAATTATGAAAAAGCCAATTCAAGAAGGAATAACTCTTGACATGGCAGAAAATAGTTTATAGCATTGTTTATTATGTATTTTAGCCCACTGTTAGGACCTACTGCTCAGGAAAGAAGTTTTCTACAAAGTATAACTGCTCATTGACAAGTACTTGGTCACCCAAGACTTCTGATGAAGATGTACAGGAAAATTGATGTTGTTTTCATGCCCGTTAGCACAATATCCACTGTGCAGCCCATTGAATTAAGGAGTAATTTGGACTTTCAAGTCTTATTAATTAAGAAATACATTTTATAAAACTATAGCTGCCATAGGTAGTGATTCTTCTGATAAATCTGGGAAAAGTAAATTGAAAGTCTTCTGGAAAGGATTCACCATTTTAGATGTCATTAATGAAATTCATGATTCATAAGAGGAAGTAAAAATATCAACATTAACAGAAGTTTGGAAGAAGGTGATTCCAACCTTCATGGATGACTCGGAGGCATTCAAGGCTTCAGTGGAGGAAGTAACTGCAGATGTGAGGGAAAGCACGAGACTAGAATAGAAATGAAGCCTGAAGATGGAACTTAATTGCTGCAATCTCATGATAAATCTTTAACAGATGAGGCATTTCTTCTTATAGATGAGCAAAGAAAGTGGTTTCTTAAGACGGAATCTACTCCTGGTGAAGATGCAATGAACACTGTGGAAATGGCACCAAAAGATTTAAAATATTACAAAAACTTAGTTGATTTAAAATATTACAAAAACTTAGTTGATAAAGCAGCAATAGAGTTTGAGAGGAGTGATTCCAACTTTGAAAAAAAGTTCAATCAGTAAAATACTATAAAACAACATGGAATGCTCTAGGAAAACCTTTCATGAAAGAAAAAGTTTATTAATACAGCAAACTTTCTGGCTTCCTTCCAGAAATTTCCACAGCAATCAGCCTTCTGCAACCACCACACTGCACTAGTCATTTTAACAGGGAGGCAAGACTCTCCACCGCAAAAAAAAACATGACTTACTGAAGGCTCAGATAGTCCTTTGCATTTTCTAGCAATCATTTTTTTAAAATTAAGGTATATACATTGTATAAACATAAATTTGTTGCACAATTAAGAGGCTACAGTATAGTGTAAATACGACTTTTATATGCACTGATAAATACAAAAATATTGTGACTTGTTTTATTGGAATATTTATTTTATTGTGTTGATCCGGAACCAAACCGACAATATCTTTGAGGTATGTATGTAATTAATTTGACTTAATCAAAATTAAACTTTTGCTTCTTGAAAACACTGTTGAGAAAATTAAAGAAGGAGGGGGCAGCAGCAGTGACAGCATAGCTGGGGCTGCCATCCCCAGGCCTCAAAAAGATTTTTGGGCCTATTATATTTAAATAAGAATGTCTACTCACATTATTAGACAAAAGTTTCTCCTCACTAGCAGCAAAGTAGTGTATCTAATTTTATCCATGGAGAAAATACGTAATGGCAATTTTCACAAATACATTTTAGCACGTATATAACAGCCATTTTAGCCAAAATAAATGGATGGCTTATAAGCACAGTAGCAACTGAAAAAAGGCAAATGTTTATCAACACAGCAATGATAAACAATTTGTGATATGCCCATACAAAAGAATGCTATTTAGCATATAAATAAATGAATGAACTGCTGATATGCACAACTTGGATGGTTTTCAAAATAATTATGCTGAGTGGAAGACAACAGACAATAAAGACTACACATCATGTGATTCTATAAAAATCTAGAAAATGCAAATTAATGCATAGTCACAGAAAGTCACTGGATTTACTAGTCTGATTTCATTGAACTTCTGTGTCTTCATAAGCTCTCATGCTTGCATCTTACAATATCTATCACATAATATTGTGACTCGAACTCCTTTTCTTAATGTATCTCACAGAGAAATAACTCGAGAAGTTAGGAAACTCTCAGTCATCCACAGAATTTCTATCATATAGTAAGTTTTCAAATATAAAACCCAGATTCCTGTAGTGACATCGAAGCTTTTTCATGATGAAGTCACTCATTTAGCCTCTTTGACCTCATTACTTGGCACTCTTCTATTCACTTCTGCAACCCCAATGGCCTCCCTGAAATTCTTCAGATATGTTAGGCGTGATTCAACCTGATGGCCTTTGCCATTGCCAATCCATTTGTCTGGAGTCGTCATACCACAGGGAGTTCTTGCCAATCTCCCCTGCCCTTTATTGCTTAAGCATTACCTTCACAATAACTAAGCTTCACTGCACTAAGCTTCCTGTTTAAAGCTTTAATTTCCTATCCCTGCTCAGCATTCTTGATTCATCTTAGCCCAATCAATCCATGTTTCCTTCTTTTTCCTGTTGTACTCTTCATCTTTAAACACACTGTATAATTTCCTTGTTTAGGTTGGTAGCTTTGGTTGACTTTTTCTTCCTATTAAAATTAATACTCCAGAAAGTCAGGTGTTTTTTGACCAGCGTGACCCCAAGTAGCATCTGCCACAAAGTGATGATCAATAGATATTTGATAAATTACTACCTAAATTAATGTTGAAGAAAAGCATAATTTTATGTCATTTTGCCATTTTTTCCTCAATAAATAAATTTTGTTAAGCATTTAAGTTTGCTTTCAAAGTATTAAATAACATGTAACAGACAAAATACATGAACCTTAAAGAAGCAATCAGATGACTTACCAAGTCATAACTATTCAAAAAGTATAGATTTTTATACTTCTAGATTCTCTCTGAAGACTCTGCAATAATGCCCTCAAATGAAAGAAACTTTAAACCTCACATTTTGGTAGAAAATTTAAGAAAACAAGAGTTTTCTTCAGCAATTTGAAATACTACCAGTAATTTTAATAAATTTTTTTTTAATAAGTGTGAAATCATATCTCTGAAGTGTACTAAAATTAAGACACCTGCTAAGGGTGAGAAGATGACAGTAAACATCATTATTCCAAATAAGCACATTTAATACCTGCTTGAATAAAAACATATGGATTTGTTCACACTAGCAATAAAGAAATGCAGAACCAGAAACCGTAAAGAGTGATATTTTAAATTTCTAAAGAACTTCAAAATAAAGGATACGCATTTAAAAGATGCATTCTATGGCTACATAATACTATATAATGACAAGATGACAGGTTGTGACTAATAGCATTTTAAAAGCTCTCCTCATAATGAAACTGAAGGTGTCATTTCCCTATAATTTTATATATGTCATTAATTTACTATATCTGGATACAACATATTACCAAACAGATGTTCATCAAGAACTAAATCATTTTTAATAGAACATAATAATTTAAATCTACATCTATTAATCATTTTTTATTCTAACATTTATAATCTTGCTAAACATTTTATCAGTTGTCAACGTTAAGAAAAACAAGAAAAAGTAGTCCTTGGAGAAATATATTCCTTTCAAAACTGCATTTAAATAAAAACATTTGCCAATATTTACTATTAAAAACACTAGGTATAATTTTAAGGACTTGGTATTTGACCAATTTATTCTATGTCATATTTGTTACAAAATAATAAAAATATAACATATATTTTATCTTTTTTGAAATCTGTGATAAAGCACATTTAGTTGTATTATTTTTGTTGGGATATGTCAGCTAATAAAAATTGATAACTGGCGTAAAGACAGACATTTTTGAAATTATAGTTTCTGCCAGGATGGTGACCTAGCTTTAGCTGCTAGATCCCTACTCCAAAATCAATTCCGGAGAAACTTTGCAAGTGAGAAAGAGAAATGTCTTTCAGATACAAACATAAAACAAAGAAAAAATCAGAAACCTCTGGAACACAAAGCTGCCTTGGGCTGATGTATCCTAAGTCCTACTTCTGCTTTTGCCACAGTTTTTCACTGACACTTCATTG